ATTCGTAGAACCCACACACTAAGATCAAATTTCTTATTGTAAGTTTTTCACTTTATAATACCTGTAATAAACTCCCATAGACACCAATACTCCCATTCCAACACAAAATAATAATAAAAGAATGTTCAAAAAATGATCGAGTGTATCTTTCATTTTTACACTTTTTGAAGAGTGGAGCTGACTTTTCAAAAATTTGTCACATACATCTTCGGTTATAGCTTAAAACGACTTGTCCCTGTTTGTGTGATCGACTCAAGAGAACCCAAAAAAATAAATGACCACAAACACCCTTTTATATTCCAACATCGGACATCCCATATTTAATTTTAAGTTTTTCTGATTTGTTTTATTATTTTGAAAATTTAATAAGTTCGTTGAATTAACGTACTATTGTTGTTAGTAAAGAAATCAATATATTTGTTATAAAGTAATTAAACAACTTTGATACAAAGATTATCAAGAATTGAAAATATTGTGTTTTCAATACAACATATTGAGAATTGTTCGGTTGTCCTGAAAATACACTCATCACCATTTGGTTTAACTTTGTTACTTGAAGTGTATTCATTGCACTTCTGTGGTTTTGAATTGTACGACTTACAATTTGTGGTTAAATTTAATAGAACATTGGAATGTTTGATATGTCAAAACATATTGTATAATATCTGTACAATTAGCACACATTTTACCACATTTTGTGAATATGAAATTTTTATTTTGATAAGACACATCTAACCACTCAGCATATTCATACTCTGAACACGTGTTGCAATTGTCGTGTGTAATATTAATGACACATTAATTATCTTTTCTTGTTCAAAATTCGACATCTTCATTATAGCTAAACTTGACATTACATTTCATATAATTTAAAACGGGTTCAACACAACTCAAATAATTCACCTCGTAGTTCAATAAATCTATATTGATTGCTTAAAATGCAGCCGAGTCAAAACCGCAACTAACTATAAATCGAAACAGTTTGCATTTTCACCAAATTGATTAACATTAATACATTGTTCGTTGTGTTAAAATAATACCCAAATGCATATGTTACACAACTTATATATAATTTTATATAAAGTACTTATATTAACTTGAGTACCTTTTTCATATTTTAGACAGAACCGCTTTGGAAAATACCATCAAAACAGTTGTCACATCCAGTGTTGCCGTTTTCTTTGTAGTAAACAATATTCACTAAATTGTAACATTACAAATCACAATCACAATATGTTCCAAGTGAATTTTGTAAATCACTTTAAAAACAATCGCCTTGTTTATTGATTGCAATTTCTTGGATTTCCATTAAAACGTGTTTTTGTTTTCATCATTTTGTGCTTTTTTCAATTTGAACATTTTAAAATAATTAAGATGGCATTATGGCAATACGCAGTGGATATATTAACAGATTATGTGTTGATGCATATGCGTTATTCTTCACCTAGAACGCGTTTATGTCGTTTTTCAATATGAAAATAGCAAAACTGCAATGGATATATCTTACTATTATGCACGACCTAAAAAGAAGATAATAACTATCTAAACACAG